GGGGAAAAATGGGAATAAAAAGGGGAAAAATAAGGGGGGAAAAATGGGAATAAAAAGGGGGGAAATGGGAAAAATAATGGGGAAAATAAGGGGGAAAATAATGGGAAAAATGGGGGAAAAAATGGGAATAAAAAGGGAATAAAAAGGGGAAAAATAAAGGGAAAGATAATGGGAAAAAATGGGGAAAAAGGAGCAGGAAATGGGAAAAAAATGGGGAAAAAATGGGGAATAAATGGAGAATAAATGGGCATAAAAAGGGGGAAAAATGGGAATAAAAAGGGGGAAAATGGGAAAAATAATGGGAAAAAATAATGGGGGAAAAGGAGAAAAAAATGGAGGAAAAATTGGGAAAAAATAGGGGAAAAAAGGGAAAGAAATTGGGGGGAAAATGGGGAAAAAATGGGAATAAAAAGGGGGAAAAAGGGAAAAAATAATGGGAAAAATGGGGGGAAAAAGGGGGGAAAAGGAGGTAAAAAAAGGGATTTTTTTGAGGGAAAAAAGGAGAAAAAAATGGGGGGAAATGGGGGGAAAAGGGGAAAAAAAAGGAAAAGAAGAAGAAAAGAAAAAAAAAGGAAAAAAGAGAAAAAAAAAAGAAGAAAGAAAACAAAGAGAAAATAAAGAAACCCTGAAAAATCACCTGAAATTCCATGAAAGTGCCCCAAAAATGCTCCGAATTCCCAAAATCTCCCAGAAAATCCCAAAATTCCCTCCGGAAATCCCGGAAATCTCCCCCAAATTCCCCAAAAATTCCCTCAGAAAAACCAAAAATCCCCTCAGAAAACTCCGAAATTCCCAAAAATCCCCTCAGAAAATCCCGATTTTTCCTCAAAAAAACCCAAAATTCCTTCCCGGAGCTCCCAATTCCCGCTTTTTTCACCCAAACTTCCGCCTTTTTTTCCCCACCCAAAATTCACTTTTTTAAACCCAAATTCCCCCTCGTCCCCCTCAAAATTCCCCAATTTTCCGTTTTTCGCCCAAAATTCCCCCTTTCCTCACCCAAATCCCCACTTTTTTGAACCAAAATTCCCCCTTTTTCTCCTCAAAATTCCCTTTTGTTCGCCAAAATTCCATTTTTAACCCAAATTTCCTTTTTTTCCCCCCCCCCTCAAAATTCCCATTTTTCCCCTCAAAACTCCCCGGTTTTTCACCCAAATTTCCCTTTTTTCCCCTCAAAATTCCCCGTTTTTAACCCAGACTCCCCGTTTTTTAACCCAAATTCCCATTTTTTCCCCCAAATTTCCCCTTTTTCCCCTCAGAACATCCCATTTTTCCCCTCAAATCCCCCGATTTTTAACCGAAATTCCCATTTTTCCACCCAAATTCCCATTTTTTTCGCGCCCCCCCCTCACATTTTCCCGCCTCGCCGCTTTCCCGCCATTTTTCACCCCCTCAGCGCTGGCTCCGCCCCTTTCCCTCGCGACGCCTTTTCCCGCCATTTCCCCCGTCAATCAACCTCTAGCCACGCCCCCTCCGTTGAAACCCACTCTCCCCAGACCCCGCCCACTCATAAACCACGCCCCCTTCCTTCCTTAAAAGGCGAGGCCACTCCCTCAATGCCCATAAAAGGAATTAAACCGCTCCCCCTGCGTTGACTCCGCCCCTTTTAGGCCACGCCCCCTCTCCCCTCACGCTCTCCCCCCCTCCCTTCCCCCACCGCAATTAACGCCCCATTAATTGCTCCCCCGTTTCTCGTTAATAGCTGACTAATTAACCACCCCGCGCCGCCATTAGCGGGTTATTAATTAACTCCCCGGGGCCTCCGCGGGGTTTCTAATTAACCCCTTGCTCTAATTGAGCCTCCAGCCGCCCGCTTCGCCGCTAATTGAGGCCCTCCGCAATTAAAAACGCAATCAAAGGTGATTTAATTAACCGACTGCCCGCTTAATCAATGGATTGGGTGCTAATTAACCCCCTCCGCGCGCTAATTAACCCCCGTCCGCACGCTCATTAACGCTAATGAGCCTAATTGACGCGTCCCCCGTTACGAGCAGCGCTCGTCCCCGCTTAATTAATTTATTAGCGCGCTAATTATTGTAATTAGGCCTCGCTCGTTAATTGACGGCGCCGAGGGAAGCGGCGAGGGCGCCTTTAAGAGCAAACCACGCCCCCCGCGCCTTCCTATTGGTCGGCTCCGCCTTAACCCCGCCCCTCAGCGCCGATTGGCTGAATCCCTAAGCAGTTTCCGCCCCTGCGCGCGTCGCTATTGGTTGTCTGCTCTTAGCCGCGCCCGTTCCGCCGAAATCCGCGTTGCTATTGGTTAGCTGCCGCCAAGCCGCGCCCCCGTCTTCCGCCGGCATTGGCCGGCGCTCTTCCCGCCTCCTGTTTCTATTGGCCGCCGTCCTCTTTCTCCCGCCCTCCTTTAATCCGATTGGTTAGCGTCCCGTAGCGCATCCGCAGTTCTATTGGCCGCCTCACCCGCCTATCGGGGGCTTCCATCGCTGATTGGTTGTTCCGCGCGAAGTCCCGCCCACGAAGCCCCACCGTGCTCTGTGATTGGCCGCCCCCTCACGGCCTCTCACGGCGCGGGCGGGCGGCCATGGCGGCCATGGCGGCGGCTGCCGGAGGAGCCGCGGCCGGAACCGGGGCGGGCCCGGGGGGTCCCGGAGGAACCGGGGATCCTTCCCCGCCTTACGGCAACGGCCTGGGGGCGGCGGCGGGGCCGGAGGAGGCGGCGCTGGGAGAAGGGGGGAGCCGGGGCCGGGGAGGGAGCGGCCGCGGAGGGGCCGGGGGAGGGTCGGGAGGGGCGGCGGGGGGAACCGGGGCCGGAGCCGCCGCTGCCGCCGCCGCCGCTGCCGCCGCCGC